TTCAAAATTTATAGGCATGTACCTCACATCATAGAGAACTTGCAAAAAAAATTCGGAGAAAAAACTTATTTTTAGGCCCCGAAGTAATTTTTGGCGGGGCCGAACGCCTTCGGGTTCGGACTCCGAACGGGACCCCGAACACCCGTACGTACGGGCTGTTGACCCTGTATATATTGTGACGATATATATATATATATTGGGTCCAGAACCCCAAATAACTCCAACAATACCCCCATAGCCCCCTCCCCCCCCCCCCCACCCCCCCACCCCAAGACCCCCATACACCCCCCGAACACCCCTATACCGCCCCCCAACACCCTCATACCCCCCCCCCCTAGCATCTACAATATTTACTTATATATGATGATTTTTTGATAACCCCTACAACCCCCCTATAACCCCCCTATACCTCCCCCATAACCCCCCGTTCCCCCCCCTTCCCCCCCCCAACACACACACACACAAATCCTGACTCAGCAAGCGAGGACAGCCCTGAACTCAGATTTGGAAAGAAAACAGTGGATGGCCCTCTACAGCCGACCAGTCCGCACATGGGTCGGCCTGACTGGTCGGCGAGCCGACGGCCTATGGTCGGCGTCGGCTGTAGGCGGTCTGACAATCCTTGCTACCCCCTTATGAGCCACCAGTACTTCTGAACGGCGCGTGCTGCGGCATGCTGGGATGAACAGGCTTGCGGTGCTGGCATAGATTTCATTCAAGTGGAAACGTTGCAGCACTGTAGCAATGGCTGGCTGCATGCACGCCAGGTCCTCCGGAAGTACTGGGGATGTTAATAAGAGAAAAAGAAAAGGAAATGGTGGAGACTGGACGTGTCATGTATTGCTATGATGATAATCAGTGCTAAAAGGAAATGGTGAGGACTGGACGTGTTGCTATAATGATAATCGGTGGTAGCACTGCATCACACATGTCTATCTTTTCCTGCACACAGCAGTGAGTAGAGGAGGTGTTTGCTGTATTTCTCCTTGGTCTTTGCACCAGTAGTTGGCCACTCCCCTGGGCCATCAGGTCAAATTAGATCCGATCGTCCGGGACAGCTACTTTGTAGAGGTGGTAGCAGCCCAGCGGTACATAGCTGGGCGCTTGAGTTAGTTTGGGGACAAAGAATTGGTTTCACCATTCACACCGGCGTTGTCAAGAGCAGCGCTCAGGGACCAGTGCTTCAGGGGCAGTGCATTAGCACTAGTGAGGATACAAGGAGTGCATTAGCACTAGCAAGGATACGAGGAGGACCGGTGACCGAGTGGAGGGCTGCAGCGGTGTAGTGTAGGGCAGAGGAGGACTCACCTGGGTGCCGTAGCTTGGTAACTCCGAAAGGACCGGTGATTGCGACACTGGGGCCTTTACCCGGCTTCGGCTGCCATAAAATTGGCCCAGTCTTTGGCCCTCCCCCTTCCCTTCGGCGTCCCGTCTGGAGGAAACCGGTCCAGCCTCAAAATCCTGAGGCTGGCTGAACTAATGTAGTGGTGAGGGTTCACCTTTACGCTGTTCGTTTGATGGGTGTGTTGCTGTCGATTATTATCTCTGGATATGTCATGGATGCAGTTGCATGGTTCGTGATACTGTATGCGCAGCAGAACAGTCTGTGTGCATGAGGGCGTACTTACACGAGCACTTTTGGAAATGTATCTGACTGCAATTACGGCCAGACCTGGATGAACCTGACTGCAACCATGTCCAGACCTTGGTAGAAAACGTCCTCCTGTCTAGAACGCCGGGGTGTTATATTTGAATATGCCATGGACAGAGTGGCTTGTAGAGGGAGCATACATGGGTTTTAAAGGGGGGCAAGGGGGGTACACGTGGGTTTTAAAAGGGGTTGAAGGAGATTGAAAGGGGTTTTGATTTCCGAGGGGTATGTTTTGGTTTGATTTTTTTTGTGTGTTTTTTTTTCTTCCCCTTCTAAAAAAAGTTTTCTCCTCATATGGGAGACAGCTGTATTCCCTACGCTATTCTCTTCTCTCAATATTTCTTCTACCTCACACTACAATTCCCAAGTCCAGTTTATCCGTTCTTTTGTAGTGATAGCATAGCATCGGACGCTAAGGATTCTGGGTTGGATTCCCAGCCTCCGGAGTACCTCCCTAGCGCATCCAGCCTCCCCCCTCAGCCCTCAGGGTTGAACCTAACCCCTAGTGATGAATTGGAGGGAGGGACCCCACCAAGACCAACCAGGGGGAGCAAGCTACCAGATTTGATTTCTTGTTGTTTTCCAAGTTTGTAATGATTTCTTAAGTGACCCTCAGCCAAATGCATTGCAATTCTAGACAAACCTTTTTTTTTTACATAATGTTTTATTTTATTTTTTTATTTTTTTGGGGGGCCTCACCAAAGTTGCCACCAATGTACTGAATATAATGCCCGGGCGTTATAAATTAATATGACGTCCGGGATATCGGTATAATACTATAAAATGCCCGGGTGTTATTTTCAGGTGAAGACGGTAGTGCGAGTACGCCCTGAGAATCTGTCTGAACCAGGTGTCATAATGTCATTCCATTGCATATTTGCAGTAATAAATACTAATAGATATGACAGGTCTACCGGTCAGCCCGAGCCTTCGAGTGAAACTCACTAGGGTCCAAAGTCGCGTCCCGAGTCCTCTGAGGAACCCCCTAGGGTCAAGGGGTACTAGGCCCTTAGTCAGAAGCTGCGTCTAGCACCCCCATGATGTACAGTTGGCTCTTGGAAAATCAAGCGTCAGACCCTGGTCTGGAAATACAGGCCCAAAGTCAAAGTCTCCCCGGAAGTCGACCACGGCCGTAGATCAGATGCACGTCAAAGGTTGTCTGCAGGTGTCCAGAAGATTCCAGCTCCATCAGGGGCACGACACTTCTGTGACAGCATTGCATCCAGGCCGTCGACACAGTCCAAGAGGAGGCTGGTGAACGCCAGTCAACACTATAAAGGAGGTCTGACCGAGGGGAGGCTCATTCTGCCTTGCGCTGGCTTATGGCCAAGTGCTGCTACACGAGGCTACTGGTGAGAGTTGCTGGCGCCAGATGCTGCTGGAGGGCGCCAGCCTTGAGGAACGACGTGTTGGATTGGCCATAGCCGCCATAGCTGTAGAAGTAGGTGATGAGGTTGCGCGAGGAGGAGGAGGATCAGGGCTGTGAGACTGATGAGAGGTTCGAAGGGAAACTTACCGACTTGAACTGACGTCAATGCGATTGATCTGTTGCTGCTCTCCACGAAGGTGAGGAATGACGGCGCCATCCTCCATAGCTTGATGTTGGCTGTGGAAGGAGGATGGTCGCACTGCTGAGACCTGCATGGTGACTATGTCCGTGGATGTCAAAGGAGGGCATGCATTGCTGAGGTGGTGGCAGGGGAGAAGCTCAAAGAGGAAGTGGGAGCAGGAGAGCGGCATACATGTATTATTGATTTTCAATGTAACCCCCCTCCTCCTCTGTTACATGCCCAGTTGGGCGATGTATATATATAGCCAAGGATCCGCAATGTGATAAAAAGGACTGAATGGACAATGCAGTGCTAATGGAATCTCAACAAAATGGCACATAATAGCGCAGGGGAAGACTTAGATATAAGCCCTGACCTCACCGGGACTCACCTCTCTCACGTAGTATAAGACAGCGCAGCAGAATGCGAGAATGCAAATGACTAGCCCAATCAATGTCGCAATGCAGACCAAACATACATCATCCTCATCACAAGGTGTGAAGGGGCCTGGCGCTACACACAGGAAGAATGCGCCAGGTCCAGACCATACACAGACAAAGAGGAGGGGATCAGACGAAGAAGTCGTCAACACCAAGTCTTCGGTACAAGTCCCAGATAATCCTCGTCAAATGTCTGAAGCCCAATGTCGAGTCTGGATCCAAATGTCATCAAGCCCGCTCTCTCGTAGTCTGCTGATGCAGTGAAGTCAGGTAGCGAGAGGGTGAGAGGGAGATGGTGGACTGAGAAGAGGAAGAAGAAGAACTCTCTCTCTCTCTCTCATGTGCCAGGTACTAACCTGTGAAGATGGCGCTGTGCTGCAGGTACGTCGACGACGAGCTGGAGCTATGGCGCTGCAGGTAAGTATCCCTGGCCTCCACCCAATCTCTATCTCTCCCCAGTGCTACTCTAGCTCCTAATACTGCCCAGCACTGAAGACTACTGCTAACGCTACTACTACTACTACTGCAACGCTCCTCCAGAGTGCTGCTGCCGAATCCTGAAGACTACCTCCTGCCTCCTGAACTGCACGTGAAGTGCCTGGGAAATCCCTATGAACTACCTGCAGCCTGCAGGGCGGGCCAGTCTTATATAGTGCTGGCCCGTCCAGGACGCTGCTCTTGCCAATGCCAAAACGTGCCAGACCCTGGCGTTGAAGCTCAACAAACGTTGTCTTGAAAACAGGCCCAAAATGGTCTGTGCTAAAACCCTGGTCTGGTGCCCGAGTTCAGGGCAGGTCGATCTTATGAGGGCCTGAAAATGGCCCTCCGTTTCAGGCTGAAAAGACTCAGGGCCTGGACGGCCCTGTTTCAGGCTGAAACGACACAGGGCCTGTAGGGCCTTGTTTTCAGGCTTGTAGGCTGAAAACAACACAGGGCCTGAAAATGGCCCTCATTTCAGGCGCAGCGTGTTGCAGGCTTAGCATATAACATCCTCTCATATGTCTATTCTCTCCTCCATCTATTCTTCAACTCTCTTCTATGATTGTTCGACTGCTGATGACATGTGCCACTAATCGTGACATGGACTTGCAATTTGTTGGGAACCTCAGGTTGAGCGCCGGGTTCAGATGTGTGTGCCAATGCTGTTTGGCTTCCTCAATGAGACCGGGTTGATTGCACAAAATTTTGCAAAACAATCTGGATGTGTATTGAAGAGTTTGTTGTTGCTTCGGTCTTTTTGTTTCTTTCCTTTTCTACTGTTTATGTGGCGTTACCTATTCTCTAAGCCAGTGGGTCATCAGAGACATCTGTGCCTCTTCCATTGACTCTGCTGGGCTGTTTTTTGTTCTCTCTTTGCAGGGTCTCTCCAGGCTGGTGCACCTTGATTTCTCAGATTCATGGGATCTGACAGGTTCATTCTTAGCAAGGTTCTTCTGTCCCCTCTGCAATGGCCTTTTGTATCCTGCAATCACCTTTGGAATTTTGGCAGGTTATTTCTTAGTCGCATCTTTGTGTTTTAGAGTTCTGATAACTCTTTTTTTTTTTTTTTTTTTTTTAATTCTCTCTCGCGGAGACTCGCCTGAGTCGCCTCACATTATCTCCCCGTATCTCTGTCATACCTACAAGCTGAACAATGTATTCAGGAATTCGAAGGTGTTCAGGAAACGGTTTGCCTCTACAGGATCTAGGGCTAGGGTCCAAGGCTACCTTAGCAGTGTTGGACCCGCCGACGGTTGGCGGCCCTCGACTGGTCGGCTGCCGACCCGCCGACCCAGTGGCTGGTCGCCACCTACCGGTCGGGGGTCGACGGCACCCCTCATTTTTTTTTCGTTTTTTTTTTTTTTTTTTGGGGGGGGGGGGGGGGGGTTAAACCCCTAATAACACCACTAACACCCAATAGCAGTCCCCAATACCCCCATGCACCACCCCAACACCCCCGAACCGCCCCCAACACCTTATTACGCCCCCCAATATCCCCTATATCACCCCTATACTCCCCCTATACTCCCCAACGCATACCTGTGGCACATCGCGTGCGTGTGAGCTCTGCACGTGGGGCGCATAGCGCACGAGCAAGCATGTGCACGCACGTGATGCGGTGCACCCCAATAAATAGGGTTAAAAAAAATTGGAGAGGGCTGGCTGAGGTAGCCAATGGTGCACCTCCCTTCTAAAATATGGAAGGGCACAGAAAAAAGAATTGGGCCGATGTACTCCTTGAGGAATAGGCTTTTTTTCCTGGAGGACCCCAGCAGTGCATCTGCAAGGGTTCCAACATCTCAAGAGATGTTCAACAAATTTCGTGTGAGAGAGGAGCAGGCCAGCAATATATGTTCTGGATCCGAATTCAGGTCTGCTTTACAGAGTTATGGGTTACAACTTACAAGTTACACCTACTTACTACCGTAGCTCTCTGTTTCTTTTGTTTCGTTTTCCCACGAGCAGCGAGCAGTGGCACTAAGGGCCTTGCTCCACTCGTCACTACTTGCACAAAAGACAAAACATATGGCGGCGTATGGTTCCATGTTCTAGCAGAAGATCCATTCCTCTCTTTCTTTCGTTTCCTTTTCCTACGAGCAGTGGCCCCTAAGGGCCTTTCTCCACTTGTCACCACTTGCACAAAAGACAAAACATATGGCGGCGTACAGTTCCATGTTCTAGCAGAAGATTCATTCGATTTTTGCACATTTGGTGAGTAGTGGAGGGAAGCCCTGAAAAGCGCGTGGTGAGTTGGCCTGCTACTGCCCAGAAACTCGTGTGCTCAGCGGTCCCATAACTGCTGAAACACCGACCTTAATGTGAATCAACAGCATATATACTTCGTGTGCCGTGACTCTAGCATGGCTATGAGCATTACCTCGTTCATGGTGAGGTGGTCCATGCTAATTATGTGCAGGGGCCTCTCGAATAACCCGCAGGGGTTTTCAAATAAATGGTAAGGAGCTATTTGTTTGCTCTCTCTCTCTCTCTCTCTCTCTCTCTCTCTCTCTCTCTCTCTCTCTCTCTCTCTCTCTCTCTCTTSYSTCTCTCTCTCTCTCCTTTTTCTCTTCCGTKTTCTCACACATAACAGCTGCTTTTTTTTTTTTTTTGCCCATCGGTGACCAGCACACTTGCGCCCCAGGTATGCGCCAACCCCAACCCCCCCATACCCCCCCAAATCCCCAGAAGTTTCTCAGCGGATTTGGGCTGTACTTGGCAAGCGCAGCCCAGCCCCTAACTCAGATTTGAAAAAAAATCAGTGGATGGTTGTTTTCTGACTGGTCGGCAGACCGCCGACCGGTCGGCCCTACTGGTCGGCTGCAATACAGTCGGCCGTCGGGGTCGGTGGTCGGCAGGGGTGCAACCCTGTACCTTAGTTAATAACCAGAAGTAAGCTATGCTTAAGATTATGGGTCTACCTATCTCAGCTCTGTGTGGGCGAGAAGTACCCAAACTCCTAAGCAGCCAGGAGGCCCAAGCCAACAATCTCCGCCGGTGAATCTGAAGCATATCCTCAGGGAGGCCGCAGACCGCGGGGCTTGGGAGGACGACGTTGGGTATCGAACCCACGACCTCCTGAGTGCCACTTACGTGCTCAACCAACTGAGCTAGCCCAACTCTTTTTTAAATCTATTGTTTGTTTCTTTTTCGCTTTTCGATGAAGACAAGGTTGTTGATCTCTCTGCTGTAAGGGGTTCCTTGATCACTTGTACTGTCCATGATAGTCTCGTATCCAACTCGTAAGGGGTTCTTTTTCCCTTTTCGATCGCTTGAATGATTGAATCTGATGTTTCCCTTTTAGTTTTTTTTTCTCAGTCCGTGTAAGCCGATCACTGTCAATTTGCCAACGTTGAATATCCACTCCAGCATGCATCGATCTTACAGATTTGATGGATACAAAATCACGCTTGTGGATTGCAGGCCGCACAGAACTGGACTTGATCGATCACACCAGCGTTCCCCACTAATACAGATTTGATTGAGAGGAAATCACGCTTGTTTCTGATTGGTGACTTCACACAAGAATAGTCCATGAAACGAGAGACAGCCGTCTGCTTGGGGGCCTGGACGCCTCGTGTAGCACAGGACAAACCGCTTGCAAAATTATGTTGTATTCAGGCAGAACTCTTCGGCTATGGCAGCTCCCAGCTCTCCCTATCTCAGTGCTAAAAATAGTGCACCTCCCATCTCTTTCCAGCTTAAACTACACGAAGGGAAAACTTGCTGAAAAGCACCACTGGCTTGCTACTTCTGTGGAACTACCTCTACCCTGGGCCTACCGGATTCTATCATTCTAGCCTATAGCAAATTCTAGCACTCTTTAAGTCTAGAAAGACTAAATCCTAGTTTCATAAGCCTAGCTAACAGAGAACCTAGTCATAGGTCCCAGGCTTGAATCCTGCCAGCAGCCAAACGAGAAAAACATCAAAACAAGCAGCGATTCCTATTTAGCTCATTACTGGGCCAGGCGCTGTGTTTGAACCCCACCTGAGCCTAATTAACCATGTTTGGACACTTAGGACTCACGACGGTGCTTCTGTTTGGACCTCAACCTACTTGGGCTATGATATGCTGCACCAGTACCGAAGTGGACCGAATTGACCACATTTGGACCTCAACCTACTTGGGTTATGACATGCTGGACCAGCACCCAATTTGAGCAAATTGAGCACATTTGACACATTTTGGGAGTTCTTTTTGGACCTAAGCCTACTTGGGCTATGATATGCTACACGAGCACCGAAGTGCACCGCAATGATCACATTTGGACCAAATTGACCACATTTGGATCTTAACCAGGTGCCTGGGCTATGATATGCTCCACCAGTATCGAAGTGGAGTACCGAAATGGAGTACCGAAATGGAGTACTGAAACGGATGAATTGACCACATTTAGACACATTTTGGCCGATGTTGAACCTCAACCTACTTGGGCTATGATATGCTGTACCAGTGCCGAAGTGGACTAAATTGACCATGTTTGGACACATTTGGCCCGCGTTGGTGCTGCTGTTTGGACCTCAACCTACATGGGCTATAATATACTGCACCTGCACCGAATTGGACCAGATTGACCACATTTAGACCTCAACCTAGTTGGTTATGATATGCTGCACCAGCACCAAATGTAACCAAATTGACTACATTCGACCCATGTTGATCATTCTTTTTGGACCTCAATCTACTTGGGCTGTGATATGCTACACCAGTACCGAAGTGCACCACATCGACCCATTGTGGACACATTTGACCCATGCTGGTGCTTCTGTTTGGCCCTCAACCGACTTGGGCTGCGCTGCGCTTCAACAGTCCCAGTGCATACTCACACTGGGAACTTTTTTACTTATTTATGGACGTAATTGTGGTCAGATGCATCCACGTCCGAGCATAATTGCACTCAGATACATTTAAGATAGATCTAGTCTGTGTACGCCGTCAAACTGGATCAAATCGAGCACAGTTCGGTTCAAGTCGCTGCCTCCTTCTGGAGAAGATTGGTGCCTCTCTTCTTGAAGCAGACTGACTGGTATGCTTGCAGCTTGTTGGTGGGTGGTTTAACTTAGCATAGTTCCATTCCAGTGGGCCTGTTACAGCCTGACAACCTAGAGTCATTGAAACCAATTCAAACCACCCTATTTAATCTGTCAACGTATATGCCTGCAATGCATGCTCTACAACAAGTTCCCTTCCCTCCCAACACCCACAGTATTTTGTTCCGGGTCTCTATTGATTCTGTGTCTGGGTGTGTTTGTCTGCCTGCCCTTCTTTTTGTTGGTTTGCCTGTGCAATCTTAAGAAGATTAAATGCTCCTGGGTCCTAACAGTCGGTCACTTTATCCGTCGTGAAGCGCCTAAAGAGTGATGGAATACCAAGACTGGGCACTTCGCGATGTGAGCTTGGGCTTGAGATTGGGTGAGAACCCTCATCACCTTGAATCATAGATGAAACCGGGAAAAAGAAAGAAAGAACTGAAAGCAAATGCATGCGAAGATGGAAACAGTGGAAAGAAGTGGCTCCTGTAATCCTGCATGTAATGTGTTGCTTGCGCGGGCTTGGTTGGAGGTTGCTGCCCCCACCCCAAAAAGACATAAGGAAAGTTGTGACACTACGCTCTTCACTGTCGAAACAGCAAACGGGAAACAAAGGGCACCTGTAGCACCACAGTGTCTATCGGGCAATCGGTCTTCTCATTTTGAGCACGGTGCCCCGTTTGCCTTGCTGCGTTAGAGATGGCTAAGATCTGAACATGCATGGGAGTCATCATCCACGCACTCTGGTGCTGGATGCTGGGTGAAGGGATCAAGTACACCAGCAGTACCTCCACCGGCCATTTTTCTCCGACGCGGCTGTTAATACGCCACAAATTTAGGGGGTTGGGCTACCGGAGCAAAACGGCTGGCGCCGCCAGCGAAAAGAAAGCCTGCACCGGGTCGTTATTGGCTGTTAAGCCTGTTATATCAACAGCCCGATTTCTGAGTACCAGTTCACAAAAGAGAAAAAAAAAAGCAAGAAGGCCGGTGCCTTTAGGGTCATTTATCACCTTTGAGGTGTCAGGTTTTCGAGTTGCTGATGGTGTTAGTAATCTCTGTTTTTGCTGCCGATGATCGCTTTTCCTAAGTTTCCTTATGTGGTATCCTTTGTGTCCTAAGTTTCTTTATGTGGTATCCTTTGTGTTTGCATGTAGCAGGAGTCTTTTGCGGGGAGAAAAGCATATTTGTGTTCTTCACTCTCTTGTCCTTCGCGACTGTGCCCACCTTAATCAGGTCAGCACAGACTCAGCAACAGCCATTGCCTCGAGCACAAGGGAGGGAGGGAGGGATGATGGGGAGAATTCTGTGAGCTGCCTGTTTTCCTTTTTTGTAGTTCCCTGGTGCATGTGTGTTGATATTACACGTTGGACAATCATCCCAAATTCCCAACAGGGCTAGCTCAGATGGTACACCAATGAGTTCCCTGCGCTGCTATTGGTCGCGAGGCCGTGAGTGACATGGCAGCCAGGGAGTGATAAACAAAGGGCGACCATCCCGGCGTGATCCGGGCACACCGGCCAGGTTCATGCCAGGGTCGCCAATTTGTTCAGTTTATTTTTCTGCATAACTCATAACATAGTTTTTTTCGGATTGTTCGGATTTTTTTTCGGATTTTTTTTATGTTATTTTTTTTGCAGGGACCTTCCATGGACCTTGCCCAACCGCTCCGCCCGCGTAATCAAGGTGACCCAGGTGGCCCGGTTGGTGGCCCAGTTATACACTATTTGTGGGTTGCTGAATACTATATAGGGCTCAGAGAGCGCAAACGGGTAACCGTTGCCCGCACCTGACTGTACCCAACTGTAACCGCCAGGTTACGGGCAGGTATGGGTACCCCTTCTGAAGGGGGAGTTGCCCGTTGGGTATGGGCAGGCACAGACAGAAGGTGGTGGTGGTTGCTAGGGTGGGCACAGTTGCCCTTTTTGGAGACCATGGGTGAGTAGGGGCAAGTAGCGGTAGGGGTAAAAAAATAAAAACGGGTATGGCCGGCCAGGAAAAGAAATAGACGGGTATGGGCAGGTATGGGTGGCCAAAAGAAAAAGGGGTGGGTACGGGCGGGTAGAGGTTCCCATCGGGTAACCGTGGTTTACCCGACGCGAGTATTGTAGCTTTGCAGGCTTTGCATTTTTGCTCAAGCATGACGCTTTTCTCATATTCCAAATTTCTCGCTTTCCCGTGAAGCAAACATTTTTTCTCGCAAGTTTGAATTGTATATCTTTATCTTTTTATTTTTTGTTTTAAATCTTTTTCAAATTTTCAGACTATTTTCATATGTGTGTAACTGTTGCATACCGTATAGGTGCAGACCAGAACAAGAACCGACCCTTCAATGCAAAGTATAAGATAGCACAGCGGAAGACTTAGATACCAATGATCCGAACAATCAATATTGCAATGCAGCCCCGAACATACATCATCATCATCATGGTGTGAAGGGGTCTGGTGCTTCACACAAGAAGACTGYGCCAGCCCCAACCATACACAGATGAAGGAGGTGGGGTTAGACGAAGAAGAAGGGAAGATGGGAATGTCGTCAACACCAAGTGTTCAGCACAGGCCCAAATAGTCCCTC